TTGGGTTTGGTTGGGGCCCCCCCCCCCCCCCCCCCCCCCTGGCGGACCTGATGACTGTGACCGCGCACCCATGTACCCAGGACAGACCCTTGTCGAGCTCGTCGCTCATCAATTGATCGCAGGCCGCGGCTCCGCCACCAGCACGCCAGCGACGCCTCGTCCGCACTAGCACAAGCTGCTCGCTCAAATAGCGACAAGAGGCAGCAAAAAATGGTTGAACGCCGTGATGTGGTCAAGTCTGGTGCGCGGTGAGACACGACCGACGACTCTGGGGGCTGCGCTGGCTTGGCTCTCACTCCAGCATTGGCAACATGGAAAGCCCACTCACACAAATGACAACTTCACCACCACGGCACACACCGGGATTCACGCAATGCATCTACATGTGAACGGAGCAGTCGGCGAGAGGCGTGCCCAGGCGTGGTCCAGAGCCCAGCTGCCAAGGCCCGGCAGCAACATGACGACGACGTCGAGTTTTACCGCAGGACACAATTCACAAGTTTAATCTTCTCTTTTTTTCCCCCATCATCACAGCATGTTCCAAGTTCCGGACTCGGCAGCAGCAACTTGTCATCAAGCTCAGCCTTTGTCAGCCGCGTACTATCCGGAACCAAAAGCAGCCATCTATCTCATCATGGACCCAAAATCTCACAAATCACCAAGCCCACGGTATGCTCCAAATGGCCCGTGAACGAGCTATACCCCGTACCCCTGTCCCATTGAGGTCATCCGCCTCGTATGATGGTCGCGCTCCCACCAACGAGAGCCACCGGCGACAACCTTGGCCCGGCTGGGCTGACGGAGCCCCGTCGCCGCCGTAATGGATGATGTAAAGGAAGAAAGAGGCAAAATAAGATAAAGTAAAATTACCAGTCATTATTTAATTTGTGTCTCCGGCGTCTCCAGCGATCCCAGGTACCGAGGACGCTGTTCAACACCCCTGTCGACCTGTTTAGATGATGCTCGCTTGAACCCTGCGCCATGGTTCCATGTCGGATCTGGGCATGCGGCAGCCATCGTTGGATGGATTGACATGTTTTCGTTTCGGGGCGGAGCACGACGAAAATACGCAAGTACAGAGGTGGGTTTGTTTCCGAAATACGTCGCAAGGGCAAAACGGGACTGCCTTTTTTTTTTTTTTTTTTTTTTTTTTTTTTTTTTTTTTTTTTTTTTTTTTTTTTTTTTTTTTTTTTTTTTTTTTTTTTTTTTTAAATATTATTAAACGTCTGAGTTTACATGGTTTTGGCCATGGGTAGCATCGCGGCCTTGGGCGGAGCAGCAACTCGCTCTTTGACCTTTCCGGACAAAGATACTCGGTGCGACAGATGGCCTCATGGGACGATGCGACCATCAAGCGGGGAAATAAAAAAACAAGCCACAGCTGGTCTATTACACCAGAATGGTACTCGGTATTCGATCGCTGACGTCTTGTCTTCCTCGATGCAGAGCGTCAACTGAGCATTATAGAGCATGCATTTGCGTCAGAGGCACAGGGCGCGCAGCGAGTCTACGTTATGCATGTCGTCGGCGCCGAGCATCTCGCTGCCAGACAGAGCTTTTTGTCGCAAAACATGAAACTTTTTCACTTCGGGCGTGCCCCGCTTTTTTGGTTTCTCTGCGCTGACGCTGACCGCCTTGGGGAAGGGAGGGGATGGATGAAAAAGGCCAAGACTGGATTCTGCTACCCAAGGCCGGCCCGCAGATGGACTGTCGGGAATACGCCATTCGGCTTCGTGTGTGATGTGGTAAGCGTGAGACGTGCAAGTGTGAGCGAGGAGGAGTTGTGTGCGCCGGATCAGAGAGTGGGCTTTGTGGGCAGACGGGGCCCGCGATTCGCCCCGGACAAGCAGGAAGAAGAGCCTAAAAGATTGAAAAAAAAGGCCAATTGGTCCGTGTGCGAGCAGCGAGACAGGTCCCCGGTGGCATTTCACTTTTCTTTCAGCGATCGACTCTCGTGGCTGGCGGTGCCTGAGCCTGGACCTTTGATGGTTGATTTTACCAGACCATGTCACCGATACGTGACTCTGGTACCTGGTGCTAGTCTCCCCCCGTCTCCAAGATGGTGACGGTTCCTGTCTGGAGTACTACGACCTGGTCTAGCGTCGAGACATGAGATCGGCTGAACGCTGCCATCGTGACTGGAATGCACTTCCCCGCCCAGTGTGTCTTGCCGTTACCAAGGACTGCGTTTCATGAGTCACATGTCAATTAACGCGGGTTCGCGCTGCGTGTAATCAACGGAAATGGGCATCGCGCAACCTTTGGATGCTAGCGATCAAATGAATTCATCAGTCTAATGCGGGCACAAATAGGCTAGGGATACCAAGCATCGCACGTAGTTGCTAGCACTGCCAGGCCGCTCTTGTGCACACCCCTAGTATAGCGGCATTCAAGAGGTGCAATATCATGGTGCATCTTTTTTCTCCCACCGTCACCGCGAATAGCGTCTGCCTAGAGGTGAATCTACGACCCCTGGACTTTTCCACCTTGCTTTTTCTTTACCTTCCCTCTCTTCTTGATGCTGCTGGCTGCGCAACCCGCGCTTGGGGCTGAATCAAAGACACGCAATTTCCCGCGACACGCCGGCATCCATGCTCTCCAGCGTAGCAAGGGTTCTGTCGATGGATGGATGCGCTGCGGGCCGCAGAGTGCCGCACTAGAGGGGTCGATGGGAAATGAAGCAGATGCTGCGGAAGGAGGGGAGGAAAAGGCTGCGATGCGCGCGAGCTGACGTGTGTAATCAGTTGAAGGCTGTCGTGCTGAATTACATGTACTTTGCAAGTGAAGCAAGACAGCCAAGGCAGCCGAGTCTTTCCGCCATTGTCACGAAACAAAACACCGCCTTGGCGACGTTGGTCAGGTAAGAACTACCGTCAGATGACCAACCAGCATGCATCCCATCCTCCCTCGTCACGATGCAAAAGCCCCTCTATGACGCCCTCTACACCGCATCCAGCAGCCAATCACGCGCGCCGTCGCTGTTCCCCGCAACTCTGCAACTGATTGCTCCCGGGGGGCCCTTTCATCATGGCAATCATGCCTCATGCTATCCAAGCCTTGGCTTTCGGTCCCTTGCAGCCCTCCTCCTGCAGGCCGACCTAGCGCCGTGGTATTGCAGCCGTAGAGGGGAGACAGGAAAAGGGTATTATAACTCAACTTTTATACCGGTAAATTTTCCTTTCCGTGTTTCCGTCACAATGCAGTGAATAGTGAATGCAACATCAGACGGTTTACCTTTTTCAGACGTCAACTGGTCTCCCCAAAACCACATCCGCCCAACCCGACCAGTCACATCAGGTGGTGGCCCCGAGGGTTGTGCGGCAAGCCCCCATTTCGGCTCAAAGCATTCAATGTTCAATCTTGTCGAGCTCTCCTTACGTGGGCGGCTCCCCTCGTCTGTGCGGCCTGTGTGACATCAAATGTAAAGATGCAAGAGCTGGCAGAGCGAGCCACGGAGCCGGGACGTTGTGCGCCCGACAAACAGCGGCCCAAGCAGGGGAAACAGGGGATGGCTTCCATTTCGCTTCGCTTCGCTTCGTCTCGTGCAACCGCCGGCCAATTTGCGCTTGTATTATCACCGTGACGTTGCCGGGCGAATCTGGCCGAAGGAAAAAGAAAGAAAGAAAAAAACCACTCACCGTGGCTGACGTATCAATTCGTCGCAAATTACACATGTTCAATTAAAAGTAAAGAGGCAAAACGAAAAACTCTAAATTCGTTGCAGCGGGCGTCGTGCACCCCGCCTTCAAATGTTCTCACTTTCTTGCTCGATTGAGCTGCCAGCGCCTCTTCGCCGACCAGGGGGGGGGCTGGCAAGCGCGGCGCCACAGGTTCGCGACTAGGCTGCCCGTCACCGCAGCTAGACGCCACAATCTAATCAAACACCGCAAGCAGACTTGCTGATAAGTGCGCTGGGTTTTTGAAGATCTTGGTAGGAAACCGGTGCCTGTGGCGTCTAGCCTGCGCGCTACAGGGCTTGCGGCGGAGGGCGCCCGGGCATTCACTACTTACCGATACAGGCGAATTCGGGCGACGGGGGTGCGCCTTGGGAGATTGAGTTCTGTCAACGTTTTTGCCTTTGGCTGGAGCCCAAGGTTTTTTGTGATACTTGGTCGCCAAGTACCGACTCAGACGAGACGAGACGAAAAAGGCGCAGCCGGCGGGCGGTGGCGGGCCAACACGTTTGCCCCGATGAGGGCCATCGCGATCATGTCCAGCGCCCGTCCAACGAGAGGACTCGACGGCGCAAAGTGCTTTGCATGTGGCCATTGGGCTGCGATGCGCTCGCCAGGTGCGGGGAACACGTCTGGTATCTTTGCTACTCTTGCAGCAATCGTGATGCTGTGTTTTGCGGTGAGCCAAGACAAGACCGCATTGGTGAAACCGTGCCGAGTGAGCCCTGCGTCCGACGGACCTGACGTCGCGATTGATAAACGTCGTCAGCTATTGCGCACTTTGTCATGTGTGTGTGTGTGTGTGTGTGTCTGCGTCTGCCTGTACCCCGGCCTGCGCAGGCCTCGTGAACGTGAACCGCATCCTTGGCGTACATGAACGCTGTTGTGCGCCCCCCCTTCTCAGCTATACATACACAATAAATGGCATTTTTCACGGCAAGCACGGTTCTCGGCACAACCTGGTCAGCAAAAAAAGCTCTCGCGTTCTCGGTAGAAATTAATTCAACAATTTCATGGCCGTGGAAAAAGTCGTTGCTTGTCGAGCTGGCCCGGCTGCGTTGCACGCCAAACCTACAACCACCTACCCTATTTCTCGCGTCCCATTGGCCAGTCACCCCTGTTCCCGCATCTGCAAATAGCGTCATCTGGCCGGCATACCCCGGGCAGACGACATCATGGCTGGTGATCTGATACGCACTGAACCCGTTTTCCCATCGTTTGGTCCCGAGCACGCCAATGGCCGAGTCAAATCACTCGTGCTCGTCTTTGCTTCCCCCTCTGGCATGCCTCGCTTGTTTCTTGCTGCACACCATCGGTTGCGCGGGCGTTGTATCAATTGCCTTCTAGCCGCGTCGTGTAGTCGGCACGGGAAAACGGCAATGGTGCCAGTATGAATGTCAGTGTGCCTCTTCTCCACCAAACCTCGAGAGCAGCATCACAGCATCAGTCAGTTGCGTCATCCGTCGTCGGTGCTCAATGCTAAGCTTTTGCTGGACCGGGTCGATCATCGGCTTTGCCGCTGATTCCGGCGTCTGTGTTGGACGATCCGCCGTCGCAGTAGATCATCTCTCGTATTGCCGCACAAGGAAGGCACCATTTTGATCTGGACGTGGCCCATTTGATGGCTAAGCGGTGGAATCACCGTCGACATTGCATCACTCGTGTCAAGGCGACGATTTCGCTTTCACAGTTCATCATCTCGTATTACTACACCAGGCACTACTTGTTTTGAACGTGGCCCAAGTGGTGAAAAGGGCGGTCGACCTTCAATCACTCATGTCCAATAGCCAGACCGCAAACTAATGCACGCCAAGGCCCTCCAGTCACTAAACCTCCGAGCGCACCGTTGAATGCTTGCAGTAGACTGGTTTCCCCATCATGATGGCTTCTTCACCGCCGGCACAGCTTCACCTATCTGCAAGGGGAAAGCCTTCTTGTCTCGGGACTGCAAGCCTCCCAAGCATCTCTGCCAGCAATGCACCACACCTCACTAGCAGCCTGACTAGTTACCCCGTATCCATCTCCAACAACAACACCTTCTTCGAAGTTTCCACACGTCCGTCGCACCTCCACCCCCAAGTCCCTCATTGATGATGCCTTTCTGGAGCCTCGTGGCAACTACGGCCAAAGCGGAAAAAGACAAAAAAGGCAAAAAAAGGGAGACGCCTTACGCCATACCGAGTGCCCATTAGTCTTGAATGCCGTGATTACCACGCACAGATGCGCCAGTCATGGCATTCCGCAGATCTTTGTTTCGGCGCCCCTGAATTGATGTGCCATGCACATTCCAGTGCCACAATCAGTCCCCAGCTGCGTAAAGTGGTCCCGTCGTTTGGAAGCGCCGTCGCGATGGTTTTCCATCACGTTTTCCCTTTCCCAGTTGGCCAACCCGCGCAGGGTCCAGCGTGCGCCCAAGACAAACTGCTGTAATAGTCCCGGACAATGACGTCTCTCCAAAGCCGTCGTCATCTCCGTTTCATAGCTTGCATCGGTCCCGTAGAGGGATATAGCAACCCAAGACTGGGGCCGCGTAACCGAAGCAGGGCACATCACAGAATGCCGTCGTTTTCGCCCGGCAGTCGCTCGACACGTTTCTGCTCCCAGTTATCAAGGTCTCGTCCCGCGAGGCGCTGCAATTTCATACACTTGCGTCAGCCAACAGTCTCCCTCTACAACCAAGTGCTTCCCCCCCTTTCCTTGAAGTTTGTGGCGATATCGCCAAAAAAAAAAAAAAAAAAAAAAAAAAAAAAAAAAAAAAAAAAAAAAAAAAAAAAAAAAAAAAAAAAAAAAAAAAAAAAAAAAAAAAAAAAAAAAAACATCCGTCAAGCCTACTAGAAGCAGCCCCGGACCAGTAGCGGACTTACGTAGTATTCCTCCTTCATGTCTACCTTGCGAGCGGCCCGCCTCACGCCAAACTCCTCCTCCTTGGTCATCTGTCGGACCTTGCGGTCGTGTCGCTCGTACCGGATGGCCGTCGCGGGGGTCAAGACAAACGAGCCCGCGACGACGACGGCAAGGAACGGCAGCCCAAACATCGCAAAGGGGTGCTTGTTCATGAGACGCCGGTATTGGGAGCCGAGCTTGCTGGCGTCGCCGGCCCCTCGGAACTTGTTGCTCTGGAAGGTTGGCATCGTGGCTGTTCGGTGGGATTGGCGGCAACCTCGGCGACCGATTCTTCGACTGCCTCGGTTTCTACTGAATGCTTCGGACCGAGTGAATTGGAGTTGCATCTGCTGGGTGATGCTGTTGCGGACGGTCAAACTCGTGCTGGGGAGGAAAAGTTCCCGACGCGTGTTTGAGTCGCATGATCCGTTGATAGGTACCCACACTATCTGATGGTCCGTGCACGACGTTCCTTTGACGAATCATCGACGCACATGCATCAGTCCAGTTTCGATATTAATGCTCGCAAAATCACCTCATTCTTTGAATGGTGAATCGACTTTGCTGAGCCGCAAAACACGACTGTAAAGGTCGTTATAATCCGCCCAATATGACGTGTGAAGAGAAACGTGCAAGAATAATGCGCTTGTGGTTGCCGGGTATATCTGGGCAGCCATTGTTTCCAGCACCTATTCCCAAGTATAAAATTTCCCGCGCCGAATATCTTTCAAAGCCAAGCCATTTCTGCACGTGTTGCTGATTGCAGTGTGGTTTTCTGCATCTCATTGTTGCCGCTTAGTAGACGTCGAGAATAGTCATTGAGATGATGAGAGACTACTATTGTCAAGATTTGAGTCTAAAGATAGCCGATGGCAAGGAGGAGGAAATGTGTGACATCGAGTGCGATCCATTTGTGTTCACAGTTGGCATCATCAACTCCCAGGTTAATCTTTTACATCTATGCCTCCCTGCGTGATGACCTATGAAGCAGACCTTGAAGTGAATTGGAACTAGTCAATAATCGTACATATTAGGTCGATTCTTCTCATCAGCCATCTCTTTTTCTTTGCATTCCATTGGCACGGTTTTGCCTGTACTAAAACATGACAACTGTACGTGATAAGTGGCTTTGGACAGAGCACTAACTAGCACACAAGTTAACCTACCTCCTCAGCTACTACGCTCTTTGTAGCACCACGAAATCACTCTGGACAAGACGTAAAACAAGGACCGTTGCTTTGTAACCAGGTGTAATAAGGATCGGGACGCTAACCCTAACGCTTACTATGCAAAATGAATTATAACATCGGACGGGTGCTACACTCAATACCAGTCCACCCATCAACGAGCGGCAGTCCACAGCACGCTTTCCTGTTGTCCCTGACAGTTTCCCAGATGCAAAACATGAATAACAAGTTCAACGCCTGTCCTGTTCATCCTGCGCAAGCAAAGACTACCCACATGTATCATATGACACCTTACCTGAAGTCCTGGCCTTGTCGTTTGCATTCGATTTGGTACAAGAAAAAAAAAACACCCGCAATAATAAAATGTACAAAGGGAATGAGGGTATGGTATGGTCAATCCTGTTATGATCATCGTCATCTTCTCATGTCGTTATCTGAATAAAAGGCTTTTATGACAGTTTTGCTGTATGCTTTGCGGAGCAAGAATGAAATGATTTCGATGCCCAAAAAAATAAAAGTGATATCGAGCACTGTCTTATGCAGCATATGCAGAGGTCATTGTTCCGAATATAGTGTATATCTCAGCATCGTCTTGAAGCATCTCGTGTGCCATCATTGCTCTATCCGAGGAGGCGGAGACTGCCAGCCATTGATGTATGCCATTAAACCCATTCCAATGAGCACCACGCCTAGCATGGACGCATACGGCAACCCGGCCTGTAATGATTGGTCCCGTGATACAAATCCTCTTTGTGAAGACAGTGGCGTGATTGTGTTTGCTCTTGACAGGGTTGGTCCATCCTCCGTGTCTGTGTTGGATGTATTGGTAGTAGAACTTGCCTTGTCGGGCTTTTCTGGTTTCGGCGGTGCCATGGCTGGAGCTTCCTGCTCGGTCACATCTGCCTTGGACTCGGTCGCCTTTGGTCTTGATCTTGAGCGGCGTCTCTCTTCGGCAGCAATTCGCTTGGCTTCCTCTGCACGAAGCTGGGCAACCATTTCGACCAGCGATTTCCTGCTCTCATCCCTCTCAGACTCTGCTGACTCACATCGGTGCTTCCAGTGCTCAATCTGCATTCGCATATCATTCATCTGCTCGTCCATGTTGTCAATTCGAGACTGCAGAGAAGCTGCCACCTCCTTGGCGGACGTGTCGTCCCTTTGTGGCTCTGTTTCTTCCGGAGCTGATCTTGAATCACCTAATTCCTCGGCTTCCAGTTCATGAGCCGACTCGGAAATATCGGTCATCGTCACATCAGCAGGGGCTATGACGGATCCGTTCATCTGGAGATTTGCAGACGCCTCAAGCCGTTTCGCAAGTTCTTCCGCAAGCTCACGAGCCTCTCGTTCTTTCTGAAGCATCTCCTCTAGTTCTCGCATCCGTGCTGTTTGGGTATCAATGTCTCGCTTCGCATTGTTCAACGCCTCTGTAAGCTGTATGATCTGACTCATATTCTCCTGCCGCGCCGCCGCAGAATTGGTAGGACCAGACTTTGGTCTCTCGGTTGGGCCTCGTTTTAGTGAGGGCACATCTGGCTTCTCAGGCAGTGGTTGTTGTGGTGGCGGTGCGGGTGGTTCCGAGAAGCGCGTCTTGGGATCAGGCCGGAAGGGAATGCCACCGTTCACCGACGGTTGTGACTGCTGTTGCTTGGTCGGTTCGGGCACTTCAGGTTTCTCCAGATCCTTAACATCTTCTTTCGTGAGCAGAGTATTCACGAACTGGTTTGTGCGACTAAGATCCTGGGCCTGCAGCCGAGCATTCCTCATTTCCGACTGAAAAGAGTTAGCTGATGCATAACAAGAAATTTTAATATTCTTAAGACACGCCCCACTTACCGTTAACCGTTTTAATATTTGATCCGTCGCAATTGGTGCCAAGAAGAAGGACCGTTGTTGTGGCATCCCATTTCCTTGGTTGTTCATGCCACCGTTCACCATTCGACCACCAGCGCCAGGCATCAGGGCGTGGCCATTTGCCCGGCCACGCATCTGAAGAGGCCCATTAGGAATCATCATTGTGCCGTTGGCCGGGTCCAAGTCGCCAAAGTTCATGTCCAAGACATTGTTGGTATTGGACAAAAATCCGGCATGCTCGACCTTTGCTGCAACTTTGTGATGTACTACAGTCTTTTGATCCTCGCTCACGATATCAATGCCGAGTTCCAAATGATCGGCCGTCTGCAGTTCATGAGGCTCTGATTCACGATTTTCCTGTGAAAGGCGTGTGCCATTGACAAATGTGCCGTTTGAAGATTTGACATCTCGAATATATATCTTGCCATTTCGCTCAGCGTATATTTCGGCATGCTGTCTTGATAGAACCTTGCTGTCGAAAAAGCCATTGGTAGCAGTAGGAATAGTCTTTTGATTTGTCTGCCGGCCAATTCTTAAGCTGTCAGGCGCGAAGGGAACAGCAATAGTTTTTCTTTCGAACGTGCCGTTGAGTGACAGTAGGTAGAGGACTGGTTGGCCCGGAGGGAATTGCTCCGCACCCATCGGGCCGCGCATCATCTGTTGCTGCTGCATCACTTGATTTTGGCCTGGTCCCGGCTGAGGTCCATTGTGATGTGCAGCCATGCCGTTTGGTCGGTTGGCGGGGAGCCTCGAGTAGTCCGGTTGCACGTCGGGCTTGCTAGGTGGCCAAGGCGTCTTTGGTTGCGGTCGCTTTCGAGGACCAGCCGTTGCAGACCACTGACTTAAATCGGACGCAGCAGATAACGAAGTGCCATTCGACTGTGAACCATTTGTGGCAACGGACGTGTTTGATGCGTTGGAGGACAATGATGAAGCAGAGTTTGTTCTCAAGAGAGACTTTCGCGGTGCGAACATGCCTCTCACTTCGTCGGGGTCCATGGGGTTGCTACCGCTAATTGCGCCCCATGCTGGTCGAGAAATCTGAGGGAAGGTCGGAGGGCTGGCTACTGCGGTCATGAGGAAGGCTCAAGCGTATCTTGTGGTGAAGGGGGCGGGCACACTGCAGATGCCGTGATGGCCGTTGCGGAATAGAGCCTCGGATGCGTATTTGGTCGACTTTACACCTCTCCACCGCTCTTCGGACGACACCGGGCTACGATTTGAACCTCTCGAGAAAAGAAGTGATGCTCGGAGCAATGGTCAATTCCCTCGTGTGCCAATGGAAGCTCCGATGTGGATGATTCTGGATGCCAAAAAATTCGTCAGCATGAGCGTCGGACTCGGATCGAGGGGTGCCAGCATTGGCGGCTCTCCAGATAAAGCGAAAGAGCGACTGCCGGTCGGCCACGTCAGGGAACAAATTTCCGAACTGGACCGCCGTGACCTACCAAAGGAAAAAGTTGGGGGTGCCGGCGATGGAATCGGGCGCGTGTGTCCTGAGAAAGCTGGTGTGGAGTGATATGAAGGGGGGATTTGGCAATCTGGCGTTACCCCCGTTCTGTTCCTCCTAGACGCTGCTGGGTCTCTTGCTGTGCTCGCTGTTTTCAAGCGGGAGCGAGAGTGATGGGAGCCACATACAGTGCAGAGCGCACTCGAGGTGCTTCACCAGCCACCGGTAGAAGCGCAACGAACGCGGTCTGGATATTGTAAACGGTTTCTGCGCTGCTTTTCGGTTTAATGGGACTAGGTCCAACGAGCATAAATTATCTCATGACTCTTGTGCTAGACCCCATCGCCCGCTCATGATCGCAGTTCACGTGACGGGGAGCACAGTAGAAATAGGTGCTCCACAGTGGAAAGGAGACTGTGAGGGGCGCCTCAACTGGGGGAATAATATTTACCCGAATCCGGTGGCCACATCCAATCAAGTGTGTGGGTGACAAGAGCTTCAACAAGGGTCCAAGTCCACTGGATTTCAGATGGTCGTGGTTGAACAAGACTGGACTGGTGTTGCTCAATCCGATCTTGTTCCAAGGGAGCACCGACCTCACTGCCGAGAGAGCAACCTCACGAAGAAACGACATGCCTCCTGTTGCAGCAGTCCCCACTGGCGGCCAGCATGGCCCGTCGAACTTTGACAAGCGTAGGACTGCATAATAATACGTGCGGTGGAGAGGCGACAAAACGGCTAACAAAATGGACGTCTAGTTAAAATGGGTGCCATGATGGGCGGTAGTATGTCAAGCGAAGAACTTCTGGCCTTGTCGCTTGCGCTGACCAGGATATAGCTGTCGGAACCATTATGGGCTTTATCTTTGGTATGAAATCAGAACAACAAGCCGATTCCGTGGTTTGCTCGACATCTAACAGCATCACAGGAACCGTCAACATCTTTCGATATGGCGCTGGTACGCAGGGCATCATGAGAACATTGGGACAGTATATGCTTGTTTCTGGCACTACATTCGGGTATGATTAGCTCTTCCTGGATGCCAGTCTCTGTACAATAACTAACAGACACTCTCTGCAGCTTCTTCATGTCGATTGGTTCCGTTATCCGATCAGATGCCGACCCCAAACTGCACGAATTGTACATGCGGGCGCAAAGACGACCGATAGTAAACATGGCCAACCCGGCGTGGCGAAAATAACACTGATCTCAACCCTGCGTCGAAAAGACAATATATACCCGCTGGAATGACTAGAGATGTATGGATAGAATCCTCCTCTGACAACGCCTCATTGTAACATATACACGTGTAACATGATTCATATCTGTACTATCTAGAATAGGAAACTGCTTGTGCATATGAAAAAAAAAATCAACTCCTATTACAAGCGATTGCAATATTAAGGTCCATGAGGGGTTCAGGAGGGGTTTCACACCGGTTCTCGCTAGTCATATATAAGACTGTCCTACCAGCGCTGATGACCGCAGTCGGTGGATTATTTCCCTGGTTTCCGACCTGGCCTGAACGGATTCAAGTACTTCTATCCATGCTCCAGCACCGTGACATGGTGGAATCATGACTGGGTCAAATGTGTAGAACTTGGGGGTGGTATTGGCCTGTTTACGACATGTTTACGGCTGTATTTGCAGTGTCCGAAATAGAAATAGTGGTGAAACAGATGATTATCATATCGAATCGAATGCGGCCTAACCATACGCAACCTTGACTTCGTGTTGCCGCTATTTTCACCTGCGTTGTCATTACACTCTCGACCGCTACGTGTAACTCGTGCTATCCCTTCAAATATGCGCGGATGCGTTTATTGTAGCGGTCCTATTTTTCTATAGTATCTTAAGAATACGTTTTTTATAATGAATTAATTTTTTGATATATTAAAATATAAGTTTTTTTAATTAAATTGTATTTTAGTTTAATACAATAAACGCACTTATGTATGTTTAAAGTAACAATTTACCCTATAGTAATTCCGAAAAAAACCGGAAAAAAAAAATAGCCACTCGCCTCCGGACCCAGGGAGCGGTCATTGGCGAGGTCCCGTCTTGATCGATGATAGCAGCCTGTGCGTCGAATTGACCTCAGCAATATCTCGGCACACCTCGAGATCCTACAATCCAAGGGATACGGCCGAAATTGGGTGCTACGCCAAAGCCCCTTTTACGCCCGTACAGAAAAGAAGCAAAAGATATTTGCCACAGACCCGTGCCTCCCTTGTGCGTCTAAGATGCCGTCCGCACCAAGCCGGCCGGTGGCTCCGGCGCAGTAGTCGACATGAGGATACAGCATTTCTGTTGTTGATCTCGCGGGACGGAAAAGAACCGCCATCCGGCACAGATATCCGTGCTGGAAATCTTTTTCTATCCCGAAGGCACTCAGAAATCTGCACCGGGTACGGAATTGCCGCGCAGAGAAGCATACTAGTCGACGTGACCGATCGCTTTCTTGAAGGGTCGACGTTGAAGGGCTGCAGAAAACTGAGACACCGAAATTGTGATGTGTCAACTTACAATCAACAAACCTCCGCAAAACGACTAGCCGAAAAAGCAAATCTGGAATGGCTTTTTTCGCTCCCAAGGCAATACTAATCAAGCCGTGTACACGATGCCGGCAGCGAGGGCCCGAAGTTGTCAATAGTCTTACATAATTGGGCGATATTGTAGGCACTCCTTGCTTGGACTCTGGGACTGTGGTTGCTACTCCTAGAGGCTGGTGCTCCAAGGCTCCGAGAAGCATAAAGGGTATCTCCATCTTGGACATGAATCTGATGAATCTGCGAAGCCAATCAGGACCTAGGCTATATCGTTCTCAAGTCGTTCCACCAGTCCAGGAGATGCCAGCTCAACTTCCGCCTAAGACAGGGAACCTTGCATACGCCTGCTTCTGGCGGGATGCTCCCGTCTCCCTCTCCACGGAGTAGCCATCCGTACAATACCTGGCACTAATTTAGAGGATGGAAGAAAGTCAAAATACGAGGATGCAAACGGTTTCTCGTTTTCTTTTGCACACCGTTACAATACCCATCCTTTTGCGCCGCAGTCGGCTCAGATGGAGTCGTGAAGATTTCATTCCGCCGCCTCGCGGATCCGGACCAACTATAGATATGCCCATGCTCTTAATTAATATACAGAGCAAGTATATTGTTGTAAACGCTGAGGCGTCGTTGTCTCATTCCATCTTCCGCTCGTTTTTTTCATTCTCTTCATGTCAGAGCCAAAACTTGGGGAGAGTTGACCGCTTTAACCATGGGCATCACGTTTAGTAAACGAGATGCAGCGACGTACTCGGCAGCCAAAGTTGGGGGAAAGCTGCTACAAACAAGAACGAATGGGTATATTGCAACACTCGCAAATAGTTGATGCTTTCTGGAAAAGACAATGCGCTAACCATGTCACAGAAAATCAGTTTTGGGGACACTTCTCGCGCCTCTGCTGCCCGTCTTCCTAGATAACAACCCCCTGCCAAACGGATACCCCTGGAGTCTGCTCAACCTCACCACAGACTACTACGAACACTTCCCACGTACTGGCGTTATACGATCGTACGATTTCACCATTAGCCGCGGCCTCATCGCGCCAGACGGGTACCAGCGCGAGGTACTGCTCGTCAACGGCGCATTCCCCGGCCCCCTGATAGAAGCCAACTGGGGAGACACGATCCAAGTGACGGTCCATAACAACATCTCGCGGGCCGAAGAGGGCGTGGCCCTGCACTGGCATGGCTTCCTGCAACACGGCAAGCCCTGGGAGGATGGCGTCCCCGGTGTAACCCAGTGCCCCATTGCGCCGGGTAAAAGCTACACGTATTCCTTCGAGGCCGAGTTGTACGGCACGACGTGGTACCACTCACACTACTCGGCGCAGTATGTAGGCGGCATCGTCGGACCAATGGTCATATACGGACCTCAGACGAGGAGGTACGACGTCGACCTCGGTCCCGTCATGGTCTCGGACTGGTACCACCGGGACTACTACACCTTGGTCGAGGAGACGATGAAGCCCAACGGCCGCCCCTTGAAGTCGGACAGCAACATGATCAATGGGAAAGCAAACTTTGACTGCTCAAAACTGCCGGCCGGCGACAAGACGCCGTGCCACAGCAACGCCGGCATCGCGAGCTTCAAGTTCACGCGCGGCAAAACCCACCGCCTCCGCCTCATCAACACGGGCTGCGAGGCGCTGCAGCGCTTCACCATCGACGGGCACACCATGACCGTCGTCGCCAACGACTTTGTGCCCGTGGAGCCCTACGACACCAAGGTGGTGACGCTCGGCATCGGCCAGCGGACAGACGTCCTCGTCACGGCAGACGGGCCGCTCGACGCCTACTGGATGCGCAGCAACATATCCGAGCCGTGTAGCCTCGCCGACGAGCGGCACGCCTACGCGGCGATATACTACGACGGCGCCGACGAGACCAAGCAGCCGCAGTCGCAGCCGTGGCATGTCCCCGACCCCGAGACCTGTGCCAACGACGACCTTGCGCTCACGAAGCCCGTGATGAAGCGCCGGCCCATTGAGCCCGATTTGGCGTACGACATGGAAGTCAGCCTGTTCAAGAACGCGAGCAACATTACCCTGTGGTCGTTTGGCGGCGTCGACTTCAGGGGCAACTACAACAGCCCGACGTTGCTGCTGAGTGCCCTGGGCAACCACACGTTTGAAAAGCAGTGGAATGTGAAGAACACACGGGGCGCCAAGAGCGTGAGGGTTCACGTCATCAACAACACGCCCGTCGCGTAGGTCCCATGCTTTCCGTACGCTCATGAGGGCAGTTTTGCTGATGGCTCGCAGGCACCCGATGCATCTGCACGGGTTCAACATGTACGTCCTCCACGAGGGGGAGGGAAAATGGGACGGCACCATTGTCAACAGGGACAATCCGCAGCGGCGAGACGTGGTGCAGGTCCGCAAGCATGGACACTTGGTGATTCAGTTTGACGCCGCAGACAATCCGGGTATGTCCCATCATCCATGTCATGTCACTACTACCGACGACCAGTTTGCTAATGTATACCATGCTAGGCGTCTGGCCGTTCCATTGCCACATTGCGTGGCATGTGTCGGCTGGCTTCTTCGCACAGTTCCTCACCAGCCCCGACCAAGTATCCCAGTATCGGCACACGATGCCGCAGGTGGTTGCCGAGACGTGCCGGCAATGGGGGGAGTGGACAAACACCAACATCCCGGATCAAATCGATAGCGGGTTATGAAACGGAAAAATCATCTTGTGTGTACGTGTGTTTGTTGGGGTGGGCCAAACCAGGCGCGTGGGCGAGGCTTTGTACATTTTTTTCTTCTCTTTTCTAGAACTCCTCTTTGTACCATGTAGACCACCTGTGTATTTTAATTAGACAACTCGAACGCCTCTATGTGTCTTGACATGACTCAATCGTAACCAAAATGGGTGAATGTGACGGGGTTTTAAAGTGACGGTTTTCCAACCTCCTTTTCCTTTTCCTTTTCGTTGACTCTTTCGGGACCTGCTGCTTCAGCCGCTGCTTGAGCAACATCTTGCTCAACAGGAGACCCGGGGGCCTCTTTGGAAGATTGCGCTCGAGCCATCGAATGCTCTCCCTTTGCAGCCGTTGGCTCCCCAGAAACCACAGCCTCATGATCCTCATTGCCCATCGTCTGCGTCTTCTCAACGCCCTGTTGCGTCAATGGCCCTGCCTCGTCTTCGCTCTCACAAAGCCTCAACGCCTCCTGCACCCCCTCGGTCAACTTTTGCACCTCATCCTCGACCTCCTGCTCCCCGCGTCTCGCGCTCCCCAACTGCCTGTCCGCCTCCTCGTGGCCAACAACCTCCCTCCAGCACGCCTCCAGCTCGTCCCTCCACCCCAGCTCGTCGGCCAACTTGCGAATGCCCTCGTCGCACGACCCCAGCTCCATGACGTCGTCCGGCCTGGTGCCCAGCCGCCCTACCCTCTCCATATTGAACAACACCCTCGGCTTCCCCTCGGCCACCAGCTCGGGCAGCCCCGCAAACGGATGCACCGTCAGGCTCGTCCCCAGGATCAAGACCAGATCCGCCGTGCGCGCCTGCCCTGCATTCTCCCCGAACGCAGACGGCAGCATCTCGCCAAAGAAGACGATGTCCGGCTTCACCGTCCCCGTGCAGCCCCCCTCCTGGCACCGTGGCACCTCGCCCCTCGCTACGTGCTCCCTCATGAGGTGGTCGGGGAACTCTACCTTGCACTCTATGCACCGCTGCGTGGCAAAACTGCCGTGCGCCTCGACAATCTTGTCCGCGGGGACACCGACCCGCCGCTCGAGGCAGTCGATGTTTTGCGTGAAGAGCATTTGCAGCATGCCCTTTGTGTCGAGGAGCTTGATAAAGGCATGGGAGACGGTGGGGTGGAACTTGCCCGGGTAGAGCTCCTGCGCGAGGACGTAGAACGGCTCGGGGTGCGAGCGGAAGTAGGAGATGTCGAAGACGGCCTCGGCGTAGGGGAGATTGAGGCGCGCGAGGTTGTTGTAGAGTCCTGTTTTGGGGGACCGGAAATCAGGGACTAGCAGGCGAGGAAGGTTAGATGTCTTGCTGCTTTTCTGCGGCCAGAGCAGACAGAGGTTTGGGCTGCTACGTACTCCCGGCGGCGGTGGAGATGCCCGCGCCCGTGAGGACGACGACTTTTCTCTTCTTCGACTCGTCCTTCAAGTAGGCTGCCACTGCTGCCAGCGACCGCTCCGTCAGCGTCTGGGGCCTGACCGACTCGGCGACGAGGGTCGACTCCTCGTTGCCCATCCTGCGACGGAGCCAGCGCGGGAGCCGGAAGCCTTGCTTGTCGCGATGGCGTCTGCTTCGACCTATTGTGGCGGCTGTTGTGACGGGCGTCCCCCTGCAGGGTTGTGTGCGAATGATGTAGTTGTCTGCAAATCTGTTGAGGTTGATGGCTGTGGAAATTTGTTTGCCTTGGATCAGCCACCAACCACGGACGTGGGGTTTTGTCCCGCCGTTGCATCATCATTTTGATCGTGTCCACGATTCAACGGCGCCTGGGCTCGTACGACAGGAGTACATGGCTAACTTTCTTGCGGGGCAATTTCGCTTCACTTCACTGCCATTACTCCCTTTTCTATTTTATTTATTTATTTATTTATTATTATTTTTTTTTTTTTTTCAAATTGACCAAAACATGTTCATAAAATCGTGATATGTTAAACATGGATAATCGAGCTCTACTTCCCCAACATGTTCTCATTATTCCTCACCTGGCTCGTTAGGTTCGCTGCCGACGTCCACCCGCTTGGCTCAGAGCTGCCGAGAAACGTGCCTGCAGACATGCTGTCGGATAAACCCAAATCTGATGCGTCTTCTGACGAACTGGACTCTCCCGCCATCTTCATCGCCTCGAAAGGGGGAATGTTCAACTTGCTCAGATCCCACTGGAACATGCGCCTGTTTTCTATATTCCAGTCCACGCGTTCTGCCATCTGCGGGAATTCATACCTTGAGGGGTCCGTCAGCCAGTGCTCCTTCAAGTTGACTTCGGCGGCCTCTTTTGTGTCACGGTCGCCAAAGGGCTGGCCCAGCATCATGAGAAGGATAAATGAGAGCTTTACGAGTGAGTCATCTGCCCCGGGCGGAATGTCTAGGAGGTATGCATGATTTGCTTCCCCGACATCGTCCATTGGGGGAAAAGGGTTGTCTGGCCGGACATCCGTCTCCATGAAAGCCTCGTCTGATTCGCCCCTGAATACATGTGCCGACGCTGTTTGGAAGATGGCCTCGAGCTGCGCGTGGAATTGTTCGGCGATGCGATCCTGCGAGCCGCAGAACCCAAGTACCGTGAGACAGTCTTCGGCTCTGTCTAAATCATCCTGCCACCGCGATGGCTCAAAGCTGTGTAGTTGCTTCTGGACCACAGAATGTAGAAGAATCGTGCAAGCGGTGTAGGTTTGGAAACTATGTTCGTCCTTGTTAACAAATAAAACTCACCTCCTCATTTTGTAAAGCGAGACATGGGGGGTTACGTACATGACAAGCCAGCAATGTTTAAAGACGCCACCGTCGTCCAGAAGTAGCTTGACGATCCTGGATGATGTGCTGGCTGCGAGAACAGCTTCCGCGCTTTGCTGGACGAAAGCCTCGCGCGGGTGTAGGTGTAGGCTGCCATTGAGGCCCCCGACTGCAAAGGACTGCAAGAACTGAGTTGCCACTCTGCGATAGAGAAGCATGATGGCCCCTAGGTAAAGCATGTGTAGATGCAAGATGGACCGTTTGGTTCCCACCGGGAGATTCTCATGCGCAGGCGCTCCAAGTCGCATGGATTCTGGTAGCTCTTCGTACCAGCTTTGCAGGTCTCCTCGGATGGTCTCAACAGCTGGGATTGTGAGATCCTTGAAGACCAAATGCATACGCAATATCTCCGCCTTGAGAAGGCATATTCTCGCCATTTCCGTTTGCACAACTACTCCACGTCAGAAAACGAGCGCTGGGGTGGCTCCTTGATGAGACATACCCTCGGTGATATTGTCCGCATCATCAAACCTGAGGTCAGCGAGCTTGGAGAGTAGTCAGATTCTGTCGGGCTAAAAAAATAGGGTCGATGCTCTCTACTTACCACTCTTTTCTCGGCCGACCAAGTGTTCCCGGAGATGTACCCAAGTGTCGATGAGAGCCAGCTGCAGGGCACACATGCTGTCAGAAGCAGACTTTTACGCCGAGAATGTTTCTTCATTCGCGTACCTCGAGAAGAATATCAATGTTCTCCATGTATTCCGAAGGTCGCGCCATTCCACGCTGGGTATTGAATCAGGCCGCAAAGCCCTGTTGTTTATTCCGTAGATGTGACACATGCTCAGCCCAGTTTCTGCAAATCAAAAAGGGCACATTAGAGGCGTCAAAACAACAATCAAACACCACAGGTCAAAAATCAACGCTAGGTACTTACCAACATACGTCAGAGACACCATCTCCTTGTTCATGATATTATACTGGGCAAATAACGTGCAGGCCTTGATTGCGTGTAGAGGTTCATGCTCTATCGCAACCTCAAGGAAATGCCTAGCAAGATTATACAAGGCCGCCTCTACCTCCTTGCTGATTGTATCGGGCGCGTACTGTGCTCCTACCGCAGCAACCGCCGCCAGGCAGCAGACCTTGGCCTTTAAAAGCTCCGAGGGGGGCTGAGACTCGTCGAAGATTGCGCGATAGCACTGCAGGATATAAGGCTCCGAAAAGACGTGGAATAGCTTGCCGCTGCAGCTAAAGAATGAATTCACCGCCCGCATCACAACCGGTGCTTCCGGAAGCAGGAGGCGGAGATCGCAAGTCAGCTTGTTGGCCAGGAGCAACAAAGCATATTGCTGATCCTGCCCATTCAAACCGCCTGTCTGACTTGCAAGGCTCTCAATAGCTCCGACGGCGTCGTCGGCATCCCGTATGCTGTTTAGGATCGTGGCGAGCTGCTCCGGGCTACTTGTTTTCAACGCAGTCACCAGCTCTTCCAAAGACTCGAGCCGCGACTTGACAGCAGTCGCTCGACTCTGACCCTCCCGGCCGACGTAGCCGCATGCTCGCTTCTTGGTCCTACACGTTGAGCATTTGGGCCAGTTGCCATCGCACTGGTTGCGCGGCAGTGTTAGCAACGGTAAGCAGGGCTTTGAACGTATTCAAGCACGCGGCGTGACAGAGGTCGGGGCCACCTTTATCTTTAATCTTCGACAGTCAAGGCAAGCTTGTATAGCTGGCGTCCGGCTCGGGCCAGCACCAGGGGATCGGGCATCGTCACTAGAAGATGTAGCACGAGATGCGGAGGGTCGTGTTCTCGACGTGGCGGGTTTCAGTGGTCGGAAAGCCATCTTGTCGCCTCACTCGACATCTCAAAATGAAACTCTAGCTTTGGGATGCAAAACGCAAACGATTGTGGGAGCAGATTCGATGATGTGGGCAGATGATGTGTGCAGCTGTACCTACCTGATGGTCGTATAATACGCAAACCCTAGCCTAAGAAAACGATGGGAAAAAAAGAAAAAACGGCGACGCAGGCAAAGAGCGACTGGTGGGGGAATCAACAGCTGAACACCAACGGAGATGTCGCCGTCATGAAATCGGCACCAATCAGACGGCAGCACATGGTGTTGCAGACCGATCTAGATCGAAGCAATGACTGGAAATACTTGGGTACCTTGCCACACAACTTTTGTGGCTTGCTGGAACTAGTGAAATGAGGAGAGAGGGTACTCCGTAACTTTAAATGACCAAATGGAGCTTGAATCACTACAGCAAGGCGAAAATGCAAAGGACAAAGGATATTCCTCAACCGAGTCGTGAAAAGTAGCGGAGCGACGTGGAACCCGTTTGTATGATGTATTCAAAGCACTGCATAACCTTTTCCCGATCGTTACATCTTTGCGAACCTAGGACTTGATGTGCGTCCTTTCGCGATAGATTCAACGATTAATCAAAGAAACTCAAAAGACCCCAGCAAACAATCTTCGCATCGTCAATCATTTGTGTCCTATATGTCAACGCCAAGCAATGCCCTTTACGACGCCCAATAAAACGAAGCAGCTCCCCTGTCACATGGGGGAAAATGACAAGACTTATCCATGTCTCTGTCTGGCCTGGGCGAACTGTTCTTCTTGCAAACGCGCCAGTTCTTCCATGGACATGCCGCTGTTGGCGAATTTGTCTGCCTTCTTTTCTCGGCCCTGGGGTAGACGTGCATTAGCAAAACGCTTAGGGAAGATGTAAACACGAAAGACGAGCCAAGACATACCTTCTGAACCTCCTTGTGCTCGGCAGCGGCTTCAAGCACAGCGGGCACGTAATCGGAAAAGCCAAGCTGCTCGAGGGCCTTTGTGATGTGATCACAGGCAATGGTCTTTTTGGCCTCCTTTTCAGAAATTTCGTTGGCTTCGGAAGAAATGAGGGTGATGAATTCCACGCAGCATTCAATGAGGAGATCCCTGGCCTCTTTTGCGAAAGCTACTCCACCGTGTGGTGGCAGGATTTCGCCTACAATCTTCTGGACGGTGGCTATCAACGGGGGTTAGCTTCGGCACCCTTCCGTAGAAGTGAATGGGCGGCTATGTATAGCATACCTTTGGGGAGAGACAGGTCATCGTTGCCTGTACATCCTCTCGTTAGGAAATCTGGCACGGACGGCGAAACAAAGAAAAACAAAGAAATGCAGCGTTTACTGAGGCCTGAATCCACCCTGGCCCAATATCGGTCCGTCGAAGGCTTCCTGGGCATGGTAAAAATGCGCAGGACAACAAGGCAAACGGGGTTTGTTTCAAAAGATGACGGCACACTCTGATACATAGAATGTGGGATGATGCGGCTAGGACATGAGAAGAGACGTGACAACAAGCACTTGCGTTGCAGCTGCGACCAACGACACATGAAGCTTTATATACCAGTGGACACAAAAAAAAAACGAAAGACACAGAAATGGCTCGTGCACCGCGTAACGATACCTCTGCTTCATATCGAGTTCAATACTCAATGAAGCAAACGCGGGAGGGCCGTCATGGCAACAGCACCGACATTTACCGTCTTCAAGTTTGATATGACAAGGAGGGGGCGGGTGCAAGACAAGAGCAAGACAAGAAAGAATTGACGAAATGGTGGTACAACAGTGGATGCATGAAAGGAGGCAAGCAGTGATGAACATGCGACGAAAAAAATGAAATAAAATACAATAAAGCTGAACGTACCGCCGAACTCGTGATCCGACATGTTGACGGATGAAAGTCGTGATGATTTGTGTGGGTAGGAGGTGCGGCAGGATACGGCGCGGTAGGCCACCTGAATGCAACGTCAATACGGCGTGCAAAAGTAGAATATTAAATGCAAGTGAGGGCCCGGATAGATAAACTTACGGACTGGGAAGCTCAGTTGCGGATGGACGCGAGGATGGTGAGGCAGCTAGAGGAAGATGTGATGTGAGCGACGCGCCACGGTCAGGCCAGTTCACAGCTCAAGGACGAAACAGTTGAGCATTGAATGACGGATGAGGGCGGATGGTGGGGCGAAGCTGTCTGGTGAATTATAACCTCCCAAGATGCCTGAACTTGCATGTGGCTATGAAGGCCACAGTGCCGCGTCTAGCGGGGCGCCGGGACTGTGGCCACTAGCAGCTCGCCAAAGCTAGGCGGGCTCTCCACTCCAGGTCCTTAACCTCCCCCACTGCTGCCAGTGTTCGGTAGCACTTGAGTACTACACGGGCGCACACTCAAGGGCGCAGGCAGCACAGCACTGCGGCAATTCCGCTCTCCAGTCAGCGTGCACGTGCCAGCGGGTCCTCAACTAAAAAGCGACCGGCAAAGGAAAAAAAAAAAAAACTACCCTCTTTCGTTTTCCTCCTCTTCACCAAGCATTCGTGTCGAGCTCAACAACACATCTGTCCGAGTCGCAATTGAGTTGATTTTGCTCTTGCGTGTGTTAGCGTGACTGAAATTGGTCGCCTGGAGGCAAGTAAGATTTGCACAACTGACGTCCTTTTTTCCGTGCCTTTCTAGTGATGAGATACGTTGTCGCCCCAGTCTGAGGAGGTCCGACAAGCCTCTTTGCTGATAGACACGTCTTATGCCAAATAGACACAGCTGAACCCTTGTTGGCCTTGAATCCCATTCCGTTGCGCACATTTTATTCAAGGCCAAATCAAGCTAACTCGCGTTCCGGCCAGGCTTCCCGTGCACAATGTAAGATTTTCTACCTGCGCCATGCCGACCTTCGACCTTCGACTGCCGTGATGCCTTTTGCTATCTGGTACTATCAAATACCGATCATTCATGATGGAGACATTCGATAGCCTGAGCGCAGCACCCAACAATGTGTTGAATGGAATAGTCAAGGCAACCAGGCATGCTAACGAGCCTCGAAGTAGGCATGGACCCAGCCATCACCTAGACTGAAGCCACTGTCACGCAAGCACGAACCTTCAATAAGGTAAGAAACAATGTTATGTATATGAATTTCGCTGTTACATATTTGCTATGATGAAGAAACTTACATTCCATGCTAATACCGAATCACGCATGTGGAGTAAATTAAGAGCTTTTCATCTTTCGACTGACTGCAAATTTTTTTCTCTTTCTATAAACTGATTCATGTTTCCGTGGAGTCCAAGCTAACATGATTGGAAGTCATTCACAGTCTACGCGGCCGTTGCCTACTCTTGATATGAAGCCAACTCTGCCGAATTCCAACTGTTCATGTTGTCAGTAAGTATCAAGGACGTAAACATGATTGCGCGCTTACCTGAGGTCTTTTCCACTCAATTCCCTCTGTGGGGATGCCACAAATTTGGCAATCACGTTGCCAGGTTGCTCGGGTTTTAGTAGTTTGCCCTGCTCGAATGCTTCGATGAAAGTGTCGTATTGTGCCTTGTCCATGGATTGCTGCCCTGATGATCGAATCTGCACTTGCATGTCTGTATCCACGCGTCCCGGACTGACGGTGATGCTCGTAATGTCCTTTTCTTCAAAAGCAAGATGCGAGGAGAGGGAGTTGAGCGCTGCCTTGGATGAACCGTATGCGCTCCATCCCGTGTATGGCTTGAGAGCGGCACCCGAAGAGACCCAGACAACGCATCCCTTGGTCTTTCGTAGCTCACCAAGTGCTGCTTGAGCCTAATGAGAAAGATTAGTACGAGGTGATTGACTAGTGTAGACAGCGCAACAAAGAAGTTTACCATGGTCAAACAGCTAAAGACATTGACGTTGTAAAGATTCCTGAAAGTTTCGATAGACGTAGTCTCTAATCTCGAAGACACAAGAAGTCCATGATTAATTACCAGCCCATTCAGTTTGCCAAACGATGCGACTGCAAGGCTGGTCAATTTCTCGGGCATCTGCCACGCATCATCAGCTCATGTTGTGCCGCATGCCAACGCCACCATTCACAGAAACACGCCGACATTCATTTCATCCACTTGCTCCCAAGGCCAGCACTCGGGAAGATGGGAATAAGTCATACCTCGGCACTGGTCATGTCCCCGGCCACATATTCAACTTGACCCGGGTACGCTTTTTTGATCCCTTCCAACGGCTCCGCCGAACGAGCCGTGACCACGACCTTGTGCGACTGCTCGAGCAAGTGGCGCGTGACGGCTGCTCCGATGCCCTTGCTCGCGCCGGTTACAATAAAGACCTTGGGAGATGTCATACTTGTACGCGCTGTTATGGGTTGGGGGGTTTGAATGGGGGGAAGTTGCGCGGTGCGGTGATTTTTTTGATAACCATTGCGGGTGGCTCCGGGAATGTGGAGACGCTCGTTTCTGGGTATTACGAGTCCGTGTTAGAGCTGTAGGAATAGGTGCTGAAGCAGAATTCGTCTTGATCGATCTTGCAGTGGTGTTGAGTTGTTTATGCAGAGTCAAGTATGTTCTGTGCGGTTGTGGTCGGGGAGGCGGCAGCCGTGTCCGAGAAGTCGCAGATGCAGGACGATTGCGCGGGAGTTTTGCAGTGGAGTGAGAATGTACGCGTTTCGCGTTTGTCTGTGTGCGGTATCATGCTTATAGAATAGAGAATTGACACGAGGAAACTTTGTTGAGCTGTTTGGAGACGGTACCAGCTCGCCCTGGACGATGCGTATGTGGTACATAGTTTGGGTCTACTATCGCGAGTGGCAGATACTGCATCTGTCGGCTATATTGTGTTAGAATACAATGTATAGCTTGGGGATATGATGCACCAAGTGGTATATTTGGAGTTGTTGTATTAATATGGAAGGGCTGCTCGCTTTGAGTCATGATGGAAATCTGCATGAGCATGTATGAGAAAGAGTACACCGCAAATGGCATTGAACTAGGTCACTTTGTCTTTGAGATAAAGTGCGTAATGTGATTCTAATCGAGGTAGTAACTAGGGTATCAAAATTACGTTCAACCATTTAAGAGCACTTTGACCAGTGTTTGCATTGTATCTAAGGCAATGGAGATGGCGGTCAATCATGGTATGCTAATCACCGTCTGTGTTTGAGTTTTGTAAATAATAAAAGAAATGGGCCGCGCGGCATCTGCGTCTTATCACAAAACGACTATTTGCCTTCGGATTTTGTCAGATTCACACCTCGTCTCTTGGAAGGAGTTTCGGAACTTCTTTGTAGCTAATTCCAGGCAGGGCTCCTTAACTTGAAGCACGTGGCGTTTTAAAGGCTCGGTCGTGTTGTTTGAACATTGCAGGGCTACTGCAATCGCACAAACACTTGCAGCGTAACCGAGCTGCGATATTCGGTCTTGCGGATCTGTCTACACCAAAATAAATCGAGATCGGCTCCATTCGATATGACGGACGTTCCCGCGGCGTGGCCGTTAGTTGCTATCATGACTGCGCGCCAAGATCACCAGTTGCCGGTTATGCTTCCATAAGATTATAGTTGCATAACTTTTGCCGTCAATATTACCAATGAAGCCGTGCCCGTTCTATTCCGCCGAGCCCTTTAGCGCTTGTGAATTGTTTGACGATTGAGCCTAAAGTAGTTCATGAACGCTGGGGCTGCGTGCGTACTCAACCTTGGCTCTAGCTTGGACGAGCCTCTTTATATCATATCTTAGGTCCCCTTCCTTCAACCTTGATCACAAGATTAGATGAGAGCTGTCCCCAGGTGTGCGAGTCTCGGCGAAGGCTGACGCTCGGGCACGCTGACCACCTGCCACAATTAGGCGCCTCGCCCCTAGGCTCTCCGCTCAGGTGCCCCTTCCCCGAATTTCGGAGGTGGCCGGAATTTTCAAGTCAATGTGACGCATCTTGGTCCGCCCACTGATATCCTTGCCTTGCTTGTGGCTCCTTCTAGAGGCACTAAAGTAACGGGATATCACCGCCGCCCTGGTACTGCCGGATCCAATCACCCAACTCGATTGGAGCGGTTCACGAGATCTTCCACAAGAATGCTCGAGCGAACCCCGATAGGCCTTGCGTCACGGAGACGGCTTCCTCTACCACCGCTGAGAGGCGATTTACCTACAAACAGATCTATGAGGCGTCCAACATACTGGCCAACCAGCTCCACGACGCCGGCATCACCAATGGCGATGTTGTCGTCATGATCTTCGCCTACCGCTCCGTCGAGCTCGTGATTGCCTTTATGGGCACTCTCACAGCTGGCGCGACCATAGCCGTGTTGGATCCTGCGTACCCTCCGGCAAGACAACAAATTTACGTCCAAGTTTCCCAGCCAAAGGCACTTATTTCGGCTGTGAGAGCCAAGGACGAGAACGGTCCCTTCGCGCCGCTAGTATAAAAGTACATAGACGAGGAGCTGTCGCTCAAGACGAATGTTCCTGAAATAACCCAGTCCTCTCTTTACTAGCGGTTCCGAGGGCCGGCCTAAAGTAAGCGATGCGCCGACCTTGCCAGAATCTTCATCTATCTAGTTGAAAGTATAAGGGGTCTAATGAGCCAACAACTACTCCAAAGGGCGTTTTGGGCAGGCATCACAGCTTAGCCAAGTATTTCCCCTGGATGGCCGAGCAGTTCAAGTGATCCTCGGAGACCAAGTTCGCATGCCTCTCCGGCATTGCTCACGACCCGATTCAGCGCGATATCTTCACTCCGCTTTTCCTCGGGTCCGAGTTAATAATCCCAGCTCGAGAGAACATCCAACATGAGAAGCTGAGCGAGTGGTTCGTGACTACAAGCCCAATGCCTGCCATCTAACGCCTGCTATGGGTCAGATTCTGGTGGGAGGTGCAACTGCACAATTCTCTTCCTTGAATGGGTCCTCTACGTCGGCGACATCCTGACCAAGAAGGACTGCGCTACTCTCCGCAAGTTGGCAATCAACGCATAAATCTGCGCCGCCTACGGCACCACCGAGACGAGCCGCAGTGTTTCTTACTACCGGATCAAGAGCCACGCCGAAGACCCGAATGCGTTGGAAATGATCGGCGACATCGTGCCTGCCGGAAAGGGCATACAAAATGTCCAGCTGCTCATAGTAAACCGGATGATCCCACCAAGCTTTGCGGTGCCGGCGAAGTTGGTGGAATTGTGATGAGAGCGGCGGGTTTAGCAGAGATAAGTACCCCCTCCATGGCTTTTCAAGATCTCTACTAACATTTGGCCTTACGAGTATCTGGCAGACCCGGAGAAGAATAAGGAGAAGTTCCTGGGTAACTGGTTCGTCGACAACAAGTGGGTTGAGGCCGACAACGAGGTTGCCGACCTCGCCAACCAGCCCTGATCTCGGAGGAGGCTTGGGAGGGAAATTTGAAGAGCTGGGAGGCCCTCAGCAGCACGGAGAAAGACCTGGCGGAGCAGTGGGCGACGCTTATCCGCGGTCTGAATGCCAAGACTCCTCGACCTGAGTCGGATTTCTTCGAGGGCAGTGGGCACGGTCTGCTGGCGCAGCAGCTTCTCCTTAATATTCGCCAGAAGATGAGCACCAACTTTTCCATCAACTCGCTCTACTCCAGCTCATCTCTTGACGCGCTCAGCGCCCAGCTCGACCGCCTGCGTGAGGGAAAGGATGACACTGGCGCGACGGGGGAAGGCGAGCCTGCCTACGCCCAGTCGCTCGACAAGCTACTCGGCAGCCTGGATGCCAAGTATCAGACGGCTGGCCCCGCAACTCTCACTCCGCAACGCAAGACTACCGTCTTCATGACTGGCGCCGCAGGTTTCCTGGGCCTCTTACATAGTCAAGGACTTACCTGAGCGTAAGAACGTTAAGGTGATTGACCATGTGCGCGGAACATAAGACGTCCAGGCCGCCCTCGAGGGACTGAATAGGTATCTCCGCGGGTACGGTGTCTGGCAGGATTCTTGGGCAAACAGGCTGAGCGCAGTCATTGGTGACCTCTCGCAGCCGCGCCTTGGACTTGATGACAAGACATGGAACGGGTTGCCGACGCTGCGGACGTCATGGCAAGCCTTAGCTCTTCTCGTTTCTCAGCTCAACAAGCGTCCTGGATACAGATCACTACACTAAGCTATCGCAAGAGCAGACCAGCACGGGAAGAAGTGCCATCATGGAAGCAGCCGACATGATGGGCAGCCGCGTCGGTCTTGAAACTGGTTACGGCCAGACCAATTGGGTGAGTTAACTACCAGCCCCTTTCCATACGTCACAATGATTCTAATAGACTACAGGTATCTGAGCAGCTCGTCCGCGAGGCTCGCAGACGAGGTCTCCTCGGATCCGTCGTCCGACCCGGCTACATCCTCGGGACACCGCCACTGGTATTTGTAACAATGACGACTTCCCCATTCGCATGCTCAAGGGCTGCATTCAGCTGTCGAGCCGCCCGCGCATCGTCAACACCGTCAACGCCGTGCCTCTAGGCCACGTCGCCCGCGTTGTCGTTGCAGCCTGCTTTAATCCTGTCTCGGCTAGGAATGGCACCAACGGCGGCGACGTCGGTGTCCACGTTGTCCACGTCACGGCCCATCCGCGCCTCCGCATGAACGAGTATCTCTCCACGCTGAGCTACTACGGTTATGATGTGCCAGAAGTGGATTACAATGATTGGAAGGTACAGCTCGAGACCTTTGTTTCAGCTGGTTTCGTCCAGAAGGACGAGGAACGGAGCGCCTTAATGCCCTTGCTCCACATGGCGACAAATGAGTCATGACCTTCCGTCGACTACTCGTGCGCCAGAGCTTGACGACCGCAATGCCGTTACAGTGCTCAAGGCCGAGACAGACCGGTGGACAGGTATCGACGAGAGTGCCGAAGAGGGTATCAGCCGGGAGACCGTCGGCCACTTCCTGAGGCACCTGGCTGAGACTAAGTTCCTGGCCTGGCCGACCAGTCAGGGCAGGGAGCTACAGGCCATTGGTTCAACATTGCGCAGGCGCAGGCACAGGCGCAGTGAGGTGTTGGTGGCCGTGTTGGTGATGCGTAAAGAAAGGAAAGTCCAGATAATGACACGCACTATGTAAATACATAAAATTAGAGGAAACAAAAAGTGGGCATCATCAGTCTTTGAAGTATACGAGCCAGCTTCTATTATCCAAGGGACTCGCGAAGCATGCCGCTCTTCAAGCCCTCAAGCTACCGTGTCGGTCAGAATACACTCGTACGTTGGATGGCCAGAGCGCTAAGAAAGCTGTCCTTGCCAACTCCTGAGTGTGACGATGTTCTACTTGCATGGAACAGATGGGATTGACAGGATTGCCTTTAAAACGGACTGAAGATGGAACGTCAAGGCTGCAATTTCCAGACCGTATTGACAAATTGTTGCTAAAGCACACGATAAAGACTGCCCAATCACGTAGCTCGTCAGCTTGCAAGCTTACCCCGGCGGTCAAACTTGACGGCTATCGTGAGTTACAAACTATGAATCTTTTCAAGGCCAGGTCGCACTGATACTGATGGCTTTGAGAAGCCTCTACGAGGATATTGAGGGCTTGGTATCGCCACGTACAATTCCACATGCGTCAATCGCATGCAGACCGAATAAGATGCTGGTCAATACTTCTATAGACAGAGCAAAAATGGATCAGATTGGATAGATGGTGACTTGCCTGTTGTTGGAATCGTCCCACGATGTACCAAGTAAGTGAATTGGGATACCTGAAGATTGGTGTGACAGTGGTTATCGGGCTTGATAATTGAACTATGGAACAAAGCGGTCCAGCGCTGTGGTCATTGTCGAACGTCTCCCACATCCAGTTTATCGGTGCGTTCCTTCGGCTGTGAAGTTGCGCAGCTCAATCATCACTGCTACAATCTGGAAGCTTCCAAAGTAGGCCTAGGTAAATATGACTAGAAGCCGAGAAAGGATGGCTTTCATTTTCGGGAACTTTGCTTCCCCTTGACCATGAAACCTGAGCTGTGGGCTTAGCACCCCCAGTCTGTGTTCGTTGCTCTGGGAATGCGTCCCATTCTGTCTGCATGTTGAATCCAAGCCTTTGTCAAACACAAAAGAGCCACTATTTAGCCAGAGGGACATGTTGAATTTCCCTATGATACCTCAGTTCATCGTAATCGAGATGCACTTTCCTGCTTTACCAAGTCAATCACCATCATCAGCCCAATGGACATGCAACGCCAAGCCGAGAGGCCTTACCGACAGTGTGCAGTAGATACGCCTAAGGACACGGCATAGCTAGTAGTGCGGCACATGACGATTGGCAAGCAGCATAGATTGCAACAGCAGCAGGTCCTGCGGCGAGACTCGCCGCACAAGCAGCTTGGCAGGTGGCGTAGGCGACGGGTCCAGCAACCGCGGTGCTGGAAAGAGTAACGGCGACGGCAACGATATTGATAGTCCTCATTCTTAGGAGTATGGCCTTAGATTCGGTTTAATGTGTAGTATTTGAAAGTAAAAGCTGCGGGAGGCTTTGTTGGGACGAGCATCCTTAATATTCCTGTACCCGAAGGAGGAATCTCGATCTGAATCTCGATCGTATCGCCAGTATAGACAGTTAAGCTTAGCAAGGCAGAATGACCAATGGTCTCATTGGGTGGTTCGTCCAAGTGAAAGACTGGGGGCGCCGAAACATGGCATTCGTTGGCGGATTGTCCGACGTGTTCACTATGACGTTGCGCTACTCAATTAAGCCGTGGTCCAGATCTGGGAGAGAATGGTAATCGATGTATACTGGGGCCGCGGGATGAAAATGCCATGCTCGTTTACAGTTCCCTAGCTCTGAACTTTTGATCTTTTACGGGGATTGGCTTGTTGTATCCACATCCGTGGCTGATGCGTACAAGTTGCAAGACTGACACTGTTTAGACTGCTCTACAAGATGGTGTCCAGAGGGTACTATCTGAGAAGCCGCCTATGGCAGGGGCAGTGGGTAAAGAGTTGGATGCTTTGGTTGCTATTTTATTGACGGCGGCGAGTTTGTCAGTGTGTAACTACTCCCATTCCGTGCGGTCGGGGACAGAGGTGAAGAGCCGCCGGTGGTTCGGCGATGCGGATCCGGTCAGATGTGGGCCTCCTGCCGGCAGGTGGCGGAGAAGTCCCGTTCTGTTGCGGCCATGGTCAAGGACGAAGCCCTGGGACAAACCGAGCATGTGCTTGAGGATAAAAGAAATACTGATGGGTCGGGGGGCCACGCAGTCTTCCTAGAAACACGCGCGAGCTAGATGGCAATGATCCTAGCAAAGACACCCAAGCCAATGCGAATGCGGACAACTCGACTGCAAGGGTCTGGACAACTAACAGGAGTACGGAGTACGGAGTTACAGGTTTTGGGTCTTGTCTTTGGCCCCCGTGGGCCGTGTGCAACGAGGCTGATCCAATAGGCTTGGAAGGCTTCTTCCCCGAAAGCTGTCAGAGTCCATTACGCGCGTGTTTCTGCACGACCGGGGCCTCGGTCAGCCTCGCCCTGCTACGGGCTTGGATTGTGTCACACAAAAAGCGTTGCCCCATCAAATCCCCTCTTTTCAGCACAAATGGTGGAGATTCCTCTCGTCGCTAGCTTCACGGGGAATACCTTCCCGAGACATCTGCCGCTAACCAGTGAGACGAGCCATCTTCTTTGTGCTGTGGGCTCGTCTTGCAGCAAATTGGGATGTTGTGTAGGCCTTGAGACGTCCCGCACGACATGTCCCCGCCTCCCCAGTCACATAATAATACCGTTGACAGCAGGGGTCAACTTGATGAAATGGTCGAAACTGGTACACCCGAAAGCTGGGTCGCAGAAAACGTAGCACGTGTGAATACTAAAGTTGCAACGTCTAATGGATTTTTTCAAAGAGATGCTTGTGAAGGTTATTGACACACTACTTCTTGCCACAACTAATGAAGAAACACTGCGAGGCGGTCCTTGACAGGGTATATAGAATGAGGGAGTACCGCAGTACATTGCTGAAGCTAGACCAGATGAGAGGGGGGCTGCTTGATTATGGAGCAATTATCAAAAACATCGTACAACAGCTGGGAAAGTGCAACGGTCCGAAATTCACCTTTACCCACATGATAATGCATGGCCCAACTCTTATCATACTTTTACAGCTTGTCCATGTTGTTATTTTTAGTTATATTGTACTCTATCGGTCATAAACTCCCCGTCATTTAGTCACACGAGGCAGTAACCTCAACCCAGACTTGTTACGCAGCAGTTCTTGTTGCACGAGTTAAGATGAGTTGATCTTGTTACTGATTGGCCAACATCGAATGTGAGGAAACACTAGAGACATGTCCATGCAAATTTCCCCATGTTTGAAAGAAATGAAGTGCACAGACGTGCTTCGGGCCCTCCCGCATGCTAGGCCACCAAGTGTTGAGTTTGTCTAGTCCCAGACTGAATATTCCCTCTTTCTCGTGGAATCAAATTCGGAGAATTTCTGATACGAACACACGATTCACCTATTCACGCTCAATGATATACCGATATCTCATGAAGAACCGCTCAAGTTCCTGTTGTCACAAAAACAACTCTGGACTACGTATATGATGTGGTTTATCGTACACGCCGCATTCCTCGCCGCTTTCTTCCCAGAGTCTGCTCATGCGGATTCCCAAGATGATTTTGCCAACAACTTGTTTTCAGACTTGGGACCGTATGTTCTGGCAGATAACATTCTCCAACCATCTACACGAATGCAGCGACTGACGATTATAGGGTGCTGGCTCTTTTCGGCGAGAAGGTGACGATGCAATTCATGAGTGAAGCTATAGGATGGGCGGACAGCATCATCTTGGCCATGGCCCCAATTGGTATTCTTACCATTATTGTTGCTGCCATTAGGGTTGCCGGTCCCTTATGGCTGAAGGCTGTGGTTGGGAGAGCCAGAGAGAGCGTCGCAGCCGCTGAAATGGAGTTGATGTCTTCAACCTCTGAAGAGGTTTGTGAGCTCTACAACGGCCAGAGTATTGTTAGGTGTCAAGGGAAGCCAAACATATGGGAATTTATACTGCTTTTTACGAAGCGCAGAGACGGTGATCGACCAGATGAGCCCCCAATCGTTGAATTCAAAACACTTCGGCAGGCTTGGGGAAAGGACATCGTCGACGGAACGGGTATGTTGAGAGCTGAGCTATTTTATTCCCGTACGGTACTAACGCGACAGTAGACATGATAGGCTGGAGACGCTTCTGGTGGAAGAGTACGTCCTCAACTGTATCACATTGTCAATGCCGCACCATATATGCGCTGTGGAGCATGCAGATGAGTATAACGCGGCATGACATGCAGCAACGCCCTTCTGAGATTCCTTCTAACCCGATATTCTTATAGTTTTGGTCCCTTTCCGATGTAAAAACACGCATGCCGGCCGCAAAAGACACGATACAGAGACCGGACGCAACACGAATTCATCAGAGAAAGCAAAGACCCCCGCCCGATGGGATATCAAAGTAATTCGAGACATCACGACTTCTGCGCCAAATATAACTCTAAACAGCCACAACAATGTCAGCCGAGTTCCAGTCCATGTCACTGCTGTTTTCGCTACTCTACTTCAGGCTGGTTTAATTGTCTTCTTCGGTATCATAACGTATCATCCAGACTTCAAGGGCAACTATCTGAAAGATGAGCAACCTGTGGAAGACTCAGCGTTTCCTCTGGTTGCAAGTGGGACGGCGCTACTAGTTCTGGGCCTCTTCATTTGCGGCCATGTCATTGAAGCTAGTACAGCAGAGGATCGGTATAGGCCATCCGTTGATGGCGAGATAGCCCAGATTATGTGGATTCAGCGGGGTCAAACAGTTGGAGATCAAGTCTTCAGACCATACGCAACACTGCCAAAATCAAAGCGAATCGTCATTACTACTTCGCGGCGAAGGGTTGGAGAAAACCAGATGGAGACATCTGCTGCTAGTCATGCTGATACTGAGGCTCCTTGCGAGGATGGAATGACTCAGCCTGAGAACTTCAGTGTTGCAGCTCATGTGGAAGAGAAAGCATCCATTCTGGATCGAGTAGGCGGGAAGTGGAAGCGGAATCCAATGAGGAACTGGGTTGTCGAGCATATGGACGAGATAAAGACGGTTACTGGCACTGGCGTGAGTCTCCTTGGCTTCATCGTGCAGTTTGTTGGGCTCCGAAAGATGAATTGGGCCGCGTCTGTGGCACAACTTGCTGCTGTGCTCATCATGGTTGGAGTGAGGGCGTGGATTCGGCGAGGCATATCAAAGCCTTTGGTGCATCGGGAGCTGGCCCCGGATTCTGAGTTGGAATGGCTGGCCTTGGTTCTAGGCGGCATAAATCACGATGCTGACCCGTGTTTTGAGTTTTTGAAACCAATGTCAAGCTGGGGACAGAAGTCAAAGACACCGGGGAAGCAGGCACAAACAGACATACATACAAGGTCTTGGACCATTGATACAGACATAAACCAGGATGTTTATCCATTGAGTGTTGCAAGCAAACCAGGTAGCCGAATGGCAAATGAAACACCTAGGTCGCGGGCCCAGTCTGTTTTGGAGATTCATCGAGAACTTGGCAAGCTCTCTAATTGCCGGGGCCAATATTTCGACCTGGCCATCCGTCTTGCGAATTGCATGGAGGCAGCTATGAAGCTGCTGCCTGCATCTCAATTCAAGGGCGAGACAGCTCTTTCTTGGTTTATTCGGGCACAAGATGGTATTGGAGATCAACCCCAATGGATTTCTTTTCACATCAACCGCGACGCTGACTCAAGTCCGTGGAGACTCGCCGTTGATGAGGTGGCGTCTGCGTTGTCCCTCTGGGTTTACTCTGCACAACAATGTGCCCGCAAAAACAGGACGCCGGATACAAAAATCAATTCCAATCACCTGAATAGGAATGATGACACATGGTTTCGGAAGACGGGGCCAAAGTCACCTTTGGGTCTTAGAGCACTGGGGCCGGGAAACGTTATTCCCATTGAGCAGCTTATCCAAGATCTCATGTGGTGGGTTCCTGATAATCTAGACGGAATCATTGGAGTCCGGGAGATTGGACGAGGTGACCCTGAAGGTCGTGTATCAACAATGCGAGTGGGCAGTAGCCAAGTGGTTGGTTACCCTTCGCTCCACGTCCAGCACATAATCGGGCGTCAATGTCGCGAATACGATCGGGTTTTTCGCTTGTCCAAAGTTGATGTGGAAAGTCGAAGACGGCGACGACTGGAAATATTACCAGAAATGTCCGAAGAACGCGATTCTGATGAGCTTTGGGAAAAGTCTCGTTATCCTGAAATTGACGAGGTAGAGTACATAGAGCCCGGCACAATGCTAGCTATCGAATCTTATGGCGACCTTGAGGACTTATATGCAAAGACGTTGCTTTGCTCGTTTCTGCGGTCCGTTGCCAAAACGTTAGATGAACCCTTGGAAGAACAAGAAGAGGTACAGACCCGGGTGCTCCCACCCGCTGAGACAAAAACACGGAACCAGGCGCAGCTTTGGCACAAGAGTATTGCCGAGCTGGCGAGTCAGATCCAACAGAATGGGCTGGGATCTTCCCTTGAAGCACACCTTGGCATCGTGTGGTCTCTCAGTCTTGAAGAAAGACTACCATTTCCAAAGCCTGTCTTTGATTCTGCTTTGTCAAAAGCAAGCGAATTCTGGAGGTGTCGAGATTTGAAAATGGCGAGGCTCCCATATCTGTGGCTTTGGTATCAGTGCAAGTGCTTCTGTGCGAGCCAACGACCAATTTACGCCCACGCGATAGCATGTTTGATAGAGCACCTCAAGGATATTCACCACCAGGAAGACATAGCATTTGTCATGCACAAACCAAGAAATACAACAGGCATCATACATGACTGGATCTGGAGCATTCTTCATGTCGAAAGCACAAAGAACCGTCAAGTCTTATCTCGGCTGTCACTCCTTTACGCACCTGGGCGACACCCATGGCCCCGGAATCTACAACCCATTGCTCTCACTCGCCCAGGAGACACAATCCGAGGAGAAGGCTGGAAAAAAGCCCTCAAAATCAGTGAATTGCATCAAAAGGTGCTGGATCGCACAAAGAAACTGGACTATGAGAGTATCCAACATTTTGGAGATTTTCTTCGCTTAAGAGATGCAACTGGGTGGACGCCTCTTCACTACCTCGTATCAACAAGAGAAGCTGATGCTGTCTACACGTTGCGACGAATCCGTTGCATCCCATCATATCAGTTAGAGATTGACAAGAAGGATCTGCGAGGATGGACAGCTTTGCACTATGCTTGTTGGTACAGCTGTCGTGACGCGGTGCGTGAACTGATCCAAATCGGCGCCAGCATTTCCTGTCAAGGGTTCGACGGCGCCTCACCCTTTCATTGCGCCATACGATATGATGAAAACGACAAGAACAATGACAACAGCAATGAGATTCTGGAAACTCTCCTTCACTGGCAGAAATCGGGAGTGAATGGTGGGACCAACAGTCGTCCACAGTCTCTTCTAGACCATAATGGGGATGCCGCAATCCACTTGGCCGTCCTAGCAGGCAAGCAGAGGGCAGTAGAAATATTGGTGGACGACAAGGACTTGTGCGACAAGAGAGGAATGACGCCACTTCACATCGCTGCTGCTTGCGGTAGGGTGGATATTGCCAAAATACTCATAAACAGCAAGGCTGATATTGAGGCTGGGAACTGGGGGAAAGGAACCCCTTTACACCAAGCTGTTTATTCCGGAGAGGTAGGCGTGGCGAAGTTTCTCTTGGCCGTTGGGGCCAATCTTGAGGCGAAGACGATGTCGAACAAGACCCCTTTACATGCAGCTGTTGAGGGTGAAAATGTAGACATGGTGAAATTGCTCTTGGACATTGACGCTGATATTGAGGCGAAGACGTCGTGGAATGAGACCCCCTTGTATATAGCTGTTGAGCGTGGAAGCGCCAAGATGGTGAAATTGCTCCTAGAGGCTGGGGCGAATGTTGAGGTGAAGACAATGTTGGATGAGACGCCTTTACACGCGGCTGTTAAGGGTGGAAAGGAAAAGATGGTGAAAATGCTCCTGGAGGCTGGGGCGAATACCATGGCGACGGATAAAAGCAAGAAAACTCCTTTGCACCTGGCTAGCAAAGTGGAGATCAACAAGTTACTCTTGGCCGCCGGGGCTACCATCGACGAGGTCAACATTACCGCCTTGCATCAGGCTATTTACAGAGAAGAGTTGAAAAGAGTCAAGGAGCTTCTGGAACACGGGGCTGATGTTAAGGCGCTGGCTATGAGGGATCGACCACTTTTACCCTTGGCTGTCAGGATTGGAAAGGCAGAATTGTTGAAAACACTTATAGAGGCCGGTGCTGACCTTGGCGCGGTGAATGAGGAGGGTGAAAATGCTTTCGAGGAGGCTAATCGGGAAGGAAAGGTAGAGTTAGCGCAGATGCTTTGGAGAGCCGGGGCCCGGGGGTCCGGATGGGCTCATAGCAGCAGAGGAATGGCTGAACTTATGTAGCATGCTCATGGTTCTTTATTAACAGATTAATACGTGACGTGTAATTGAAGTTCTCTGTTTACACTAGAAAGAACCTACAGCTTATAGCAGAATACATTTACCTATCAAGAAGTATACACTAGCATATTATGATATGAAGCGTGATAGCTAGGTATATAATCTGGTGAAACGTTTTTGCCTCTTACTGTAGCAGTATTAGACCATTTAAGTTCGATCTTGCAGAACTTTTATGAAGACTGACTATATCTTTGATATTCCGTCATCATCTCGAGCTCATACCTTGGCGCTCTCCATGTACTTTGAGCATCTTGTCATCTCTATGGAGGCTTTAAAATTTGGGCAGAATCATGGCAACGACGCCATCTTGTTCTAAGCCAGCTCCTAAACTGTCTAGCATTGCCAATACCACACAGCGTCCATGGCTAGATATAGTTGCTTGCCGACTTCTCCCAAAGTCCAATCCCGCTTAAGTCGTGTCTCGATGATTCAAGTCGGTAACCAATGGCTAGAAATAGTTGCTGTACAGTTGTATTTGTCCAAACCAGCAATACGAGCATCATTGCTGAGTAGAAGATGGATCACAACTCCCCGTCCTCTTGAAAAAGGGTTATTCACATCACAGGCTCTGTCATATGCAACGACGCAACTCTGGAAAAGCATATGCAGTAGTGTATATGATTCGGCGGTTTGCAAAAAGAGACTTTTCAGCGGTCATTGCCCCATTCGAAACAGAAGAGGGTTCTATCTTCCATGATGTGGAACGACCGCACTGGGGAAAAGGCAACCGTACAAACTTCACAGTTTATCATAGAGATTTGATGCCGATTTTTTGCCAGTATAGTAGAAGAGTGACTCTTTGTCGAGGGAGTCTACATGCCCGTCACACTCTAGTCTGAACTGATATTCTAGCTCCTAGGCTGATTTGTGCCGATATTTTTCAGGAGCATCTGGTTGGTTTCGCCAGTCTGCGGCCTGGAAAGCCCCCGTCTGCTTCTGGGTATCATATATTTCCATGACGTTTGGCGCAAACTCGAGCCCGAATCTGTAGAAACAGGCTTGATCGACTGCTGGAATGAGACATGCATCTACCATTGTGACTCGCGACCCAACCGTGAAGCCAGCCGTGCGTGTCTCCCTGGTCCCCATGAACAGGGCTTCATAGGCTCCAAGGCCATCCTGGAATACGCCCTTCACAAAGACAACCTCATCGAGCTCGCCCCGAATTTCTTTCACACGTTGGGCAACGCGAGAGTCGACCGGCGGCTGCACATCTTTGGTGATGATGTCCAAGCCCGCTGCTCCGGTTCGCTGACAGGAGGTAACAGCGGGTAGCGATCCAGAATCGCTCTTCAAAGTACTCCAGAACGGCAACAGACTGGCGGATAAGAGTTTCCGGCCGTTGGTATTGGTAACAATCCGTGTCGGGACGCTCGCGCCGGGATTTAATGCGCTTCGGTATTCTTCCCGCTGCCGCTCATCTTTGGGATTTGGAAAGGAAAGGGTGAGAGGAATGGATTCAAGGTGGGCTGCAACTATGACGCAATGGCAGCAAGAGGTTTAGTAGTAACAATACAAACAAGTTCCTCGTCTGAAGCCATGGCGAAATGTGGACGTGGTTGCGTCGTCTGATGCAACGGGACGGGATTGCACCAGGCCGCATGCGGCGGAGTGACCCTCTTCTCATGCATCAATCGTCCTGTGTATGTTGGTTCAGTAAAAACTCGTGTTGCCAATCAGTCGACGCAGCTTTTGACAGAGGGCCTGGATTTATTTCCTCGCTGGCAGAGTTGGAAGAAACTTGATAGAAATGATCAGTATCCGTCCTTGAAGTCATCTTTGGTCTTGGCCACATCGAGGCACGGTCCGCCAAGATAACGAGATACCGGTTGACATGTAGTTACTCCGTAACAACCTTGGAAGTTAATTGGGCCGTTATGAGCAGGGGTCAACTACTGTAGTAGTTTGAAACGAGCAAGGGCCTGCGCCCCTTTTGTTGGTCTTTGCGTTTTCTGCTTGAAATCACACGCAACATTCTTCAACTTGGACCTGCACTCCATCCTGTCTGGTCTGTTTCCCACGCCCAACATGCCTGTGTGCTCCCGCACAGCATGTTCCGAGCATCGCGTACGATTGCAACTTTTCTACGCAGACGCCAGTTGCTACGGGTCATACTTGTTGCCATCTCGCTATACCTAGTCTTCTGGTGTTGGCTGCCCTGCCTCGACAGACTCAACACCACAGAATGGATCCGCCACCATGCCGATGCGCGTCCGCGGCCGAAACCGGACAACTCAGCCCCTAAAAACCACCCGATCGACCATCTTATCCGAGACGCGAATGCACGCCTCGAGAAACTATTGACAAGACGCTCATTTACCCTCGAGGACTCTGCCGCCCGCTACCGAGAGCGCCGCGGTCGCCATCCACCTCCCGGGTTTGACCAGTGGTTTGCTCAAGCGCTCAAAGATGATGCCATCGTCGTGGAGGAGTTTTTCGACAGGATACACCATGACATCAATCCATTCTGGGCCATGCACCCGAGGGAACTGCGAGCGCAGGCCAATGCACACCCGCAAGTCATCCGAGTGCGAAGCGGTCGGGTCAAATTTGAGACGGATGACCCAGACCGCGTGCCCTGGATCAATCTATGGGCCAAGTTGGTCGAGGAGATGATGCCTCACCTTCCGGACCTCGACATGCCCATCAACGTCATGGACGAGCCCCGCGTGCTTGTTCCATGGGAGCAGATCAACCAGTACGCCAGCACGGAGCGGGCCAACAGAAAGCTTGCAGACCCCCAAAACACTACGAATGCCTACGGCGGAGTCAAAGATGCCGAGTTGAAGGAGCATCTCCACGACCCGGGATGGATCACCAACGATGCACCCAAGTACTGGGACCATGTGCGAGCGACTTGCTCCCCCGACGACCCAAGCCGAAACGTGTCTGCTTTGGACTCCTTCAACGGCCCTGTTGATTTTCCAAAGGAGCCACCGCCGTACATGTTTCGCGGCTACGTCCAAAACTTTACCCAAGCGCAAAACCCGTGTACGCAGCCGCACCTGCGCGGGATGCACGGCGCTTTTGTGGAGAGCATCAGCATGTCCACGACTCACAACTTGTTCCCGCTCTTTGGCGGCTCGAAAATGCCCCAGAACAACGAACTGCTCATCCCGGGGGCCATGTACCTCTCCCCGATGGAGTTTTACAACGGAGGAGAGGACCACGGACCAGACTGGGCCGACAAGAAGAACGGACTCATCTGGCGCGGGACGGCGTCGGGCGGCCGCAACAAGCAAGACAACTGGTGGCACTTCCACAGGCACAGATGGGTGCAGATGATGAACGCGTCCGTGCTCACCGCCATGGAACGGGGGGCCGAAGGGCAGACGTTCAAGCTCCCCCCCGGCGAGAGGTACTCGGTCAAAGCACGGGCAGACGGCAGACTAGGCGAATGGCTGTCATCCTTCTCGGACGTCGCGTTCGTGCACCTGGAGTGTTTCCCCGCCGTGCAAGACCGAGTGGGCACGTGGCCGTTTCAACACGACGAAGTCCGGAAGACGTGCGCGTACACGTCGCCGTTTATGGCTGTCCGGCCAAGCCTGCCCATGAAGGAGCAGTACAGGTACAAGTTTCTGCCGGATGTGGATGGCAACTCGTTCAGCGGCCGGTGGAGGGCGTTTTTACAGTCGACCAGCTTGCCGCTCAAGGCGACCATTTACGCCGAGTGGCATGACGATAGGCTTGTGCCGTGGGTGCATTTCGTGCCGTTTGACAATACGTACCAGGACATCTATGGAGTTTTGGATTACTTCTTGAGCCGGGACGACGAGGCGGAAGCTATTGCGGGACAGGGGAAGAACTGGACCGAGCGGGTGCTTCGGAGGGAGGATATGAAGTTGTACGTGTGGCGGCTGCTGTTGGAGTATGCGAGGGTGGTGGATGACGGGAGGGATAGCCTAGCGTTTGTGGGGGACTTGTTGAAATAGCCTGTCCTGCTGTACAGAATGCCCGTTTGTCTATTTCTTCTGTTGGTATAGTTCTGTTGGATAACGGGGGGGTGCGTGTGACTTTGAGGTGGCCAATTTGTTACTCTGTGCGGGAATCTGTCGTGCCAGCTTATAGATATGAATGATGAATTCTATGCCGGTGGCTTGATGTGACGCGTGGGATTGCTTTGCGCCAACGAATATGTCAATGGTAATCTAGGTCATCAAATGAGTCATCTAGCCGGGCCTCGTCATCTAGACGGTCCGAATTAGTTTGCAGGGTTCAAATTAGACGCTAGCTAGCTGAAACCTTCGCATTAGGGCCTTTTCAACGCCTTTCGAGGTCCAACAACAAAGAAGGCTTCAATTCTCTCGGGTTCATATGCTGGCCAAGTTGTTCATTCATTTAGTAGCTGACTTTGTGCATGTCTTCCCTAGAGGACAACCAGCGGCCGACTCAACTGGTAAACGAAGCCACTTCTGTGTTGTGAAGCAGAGCAATGTCAGCATAATTGGTTCTGGCTGTCCAAGTATTCGCTTTGCGGGACAAACCCCTTGGCGTTGCTAAGTACCCTTTTGCAAGAGGTTATCGCAATCTAGTCATATTTCCTGGCGCTGCTATTCTCTAAACGAATTCTTTTTCTTGGCCTTGTCCATCTATAAGATGTAAGTTGACCATCTGGGAGTAAAAGAACGGAAGCGACAATAACTAGTAAGTGAATAGTGGGTCCAATATTCCCCCTTCAAGGCCGAAACAAACCTCAACTTCTCATTTCCTCCGCAGCGCACCATGAAGCGTATACTCCTCTTGGACGGTGGCCTCGGCACGTCCCTCGAGCAAAAATACAACTTGAAATTCAACTCATCCAAACCTCTCTGGTCGTCCGACCTCCTCGTCTCCGACCCCAACACACTCCTCAAATGCCAAAGCGATTTCGGAGCCATCCCGGTCGACATTCTTCTCACGGCAACCTATCAAGTCTCCATTGAGGGATTTGCCGGCACCAAATCGCCCAGATTTCCCGACGGGATCTCATCATTGGACATTCCTCAGTTCTTAGAAACTGCCGTGGAAGTCGCGGAAAACGCCACGCGGGAGCATCATGGCACCGTGGCACTAAGCCTTGGTCCCTACGGGGCGTGCATGATCCCGAGCCAGGAGTACAGCGGGAAATATGACGACGCGCACAATTCACAAGAAGCGCTGTACGACTGGCACCGAGAGAGAATGCAACTATTCAGCAGAGTGCAGGGCTTGGCCTCTCGGATTGGATACATATCCATGGAGACGATTCCTCGAGCAGACGAGATCGCTTCCATGCGCAGGGCGCTTGACCAGGTGCCGGAACTGGCGGGCGTACCATTCTGGATGTCGTGCTTGTACCCGGGAGACAACCAACGTCTACCTAGTGGCGAGTCTCCGGAAGCCGCCCTGCGAGCAATGTTTGACCCCCGAGTGGCGAAATCGGTTCCGTGGGGCGTGGGCATCAACTGCGCCAAGGTGTGGAAATTGACGCCGCTGTTGAAACAGTACGAATCAGTAGTCCACGCGTTGGTACAGGATGGGACATTGCCTGAATGGCCGGCACTGGTTCTATATCCCGACGGGACAAATGGGGAGGCGTACAACACTGTCACGCAAGAATGGGAAGTTGCCGATGATGCAGAGGACGTGACCAGGGTGCCCTGGGAGGAACAGCTCGCCGAGGCTGTGAGAGGAACAGAGGCTAGAGGGAAATGGAAGCAGATTGTGGTGGGCGGGTGCTGTATGGCTAGTTCGCAGGATATAGCACGGCTCCGACAGGCTCTGCCAACGGCCTGAGACTTGCTGTGTACATCACCACGTGGAAATAGGAATTGCCACAGGCATGAAATAGTAGTATTATTGTACCAGCGCCCACATTACTCGTGCTTCTCTTATTCTGCTGAACAATGACAATTTATAGCAGAATATATTTATCCACCGAGAAGTATACGGTAATATGTTATAATATATTATAGTGTAAACAGCAATAGCGGCCCCTGGACAAATGCCCCCGATATCCAGCTCATAAGTATGCAAATCTTGGCTCTCTCTCTCTCTCTCTCTCTCTCTGGCCTCTGACACCATGCAATCTTGTACCAAGTTTGTCCATTGACAGACATGATGAGAGGCCATGGTCTCTACGCAAAAGCCCGGTCAGTTCTAGATCTTCTAAATGGAGGTAAAAGAATCAAATATAATGGGACTCACAAGGGCAGTGTGGACAATTTGCGTCGACCGTGACGCCAAGGACTAGATTCCTGGGCGCAGGACTACCGCAGAACCCGCTCCGGAACGTGTTTTCTCGGCGCCACATCTATGAGGATGCTCTATGTATTGGTGACCGCATGTGGCAGACATGATAAATATACCATCCGAATGGGCAGTTGTTTGGGTTCGCGGGGTGGTAAACCTATTGGTGTTCGCAAACTTCAACTAACACTGCTCGATATTCAATCGTAGGTAATGGTAGACATGGCTGATGAATCCCTTGACGGTGGCAAGCAGTAGCAGTCGACGTATTTTACCAAATAGGTCGAGTTGAACGTGAAGATGCAGACTAGATGAATACAGGAATACGATTCTCCTTTATAGCTGCTGGCTCTCTCCGGCAACACCCTAACCAGGCGTGTTTCTTTCCTGCCATGTGGTATGGCCTCAAAAAGTGGCCAACGGGTTTATTCCGTTTCAACAAGTTGGCTGGGTCTTGGTGTTGGCCGGACCAACGAACAGTTTTGCTACTCTCACCATCCAGCATTCCAGGCTACAGTCCTTGGCAAAGATCGGACATGTCCCATTTGCCAAAATGAAGACTTTACTTTAATGTGGACCGTGATGACCAGGCAACCGCCTCCTCGGGTCGTGTGCGTTTTGACTTGGCCTGCTCACCAATGGCTGAGATGCGACCTGACACCGCCTCATTTGCCCAGCTTGGAGGAGGACGCTTTTCCCACTTATCCCATGATTGAACCCCAACATTTGTCCCAAGTTTCTGTGACTGCGCTCCCGTTGCTTCATAACGAGACTGTGCCATAGCGAACCGAGTCATGTAATCCACGATCACTAGTATGCAGGCATCTCCGTTTTATGCCACAAGAGTGATCGGACCCACGTAATCCATGGCCACCAAATTCCACGGTTCCAAGGCGGTAATTGTTTTGGGATCAGCTCTTGGTAAGCGTCTCCCTGTCTGTTGACACACCAGGCAGGAGTAACAGTATGTTTCCACGTATACCCGTCAGCGACTAAGTGGACGATCCACTTAGTCAGCCACAAAAATATGGGACAGCCATAAAACACCGGGATAGCTATTACCCATGATTATCACCTATCTTTATTCTTTTTACTATTAATGTATCTATTAAATACGATTATTAATTAATATATAACCGTTTAAAATCGCTCTTTTTTATTATACTTAACCTATTTAAGAGCGGCTTTTTACCTTTAATAATAAAGGCCGCTAATTTAATAATATAATTAAGAGCGCTTAAGTAGTCTTATTATATAATAATAATATTATAATAATAACCTTAAATATTTATATAAGAAGCTATTAAATACTTTAAAGTTAATAAATTATTTATT